TAAAAAGCTTACATATATATTTTTTAAAATATATTTTATTGATTTTTTACATAGAGAAAAGGAGAGGGATAGAGAACAAGAAACATCAATGAGAGAGAAACATCGACCAGCTGCCTCCTGCACACCCCCTCCCAGGGATGTGCCTGCAACCAAGGTACATGCCCTTGACCGGAATCGAACCTGGGACCTTTCAGTCCGCAGGCTGATGCTCTATCCACTGAGCCAAACCGGTTTCCAAAAAGCCTATATTTTTTGGTAATGCTTTTCACAATACAACAAGAAATTAAACTAATTAAAAGTTTTACAACATTCTTCAAAAATTTTAAGTTAAAATAAAAAATTGAATAGACCAAGATTTTTGTAATAAGATAAAGAACATATTCCATGAGACAAAATAACTCACTAAATTAAACAACCTTCTTTGTATATGAAGCTTTATAATAGATATACCTATTTTAGGGGGACTAATTATCCATTGAAATCATCACAAAAATCATACAGAGTTGTTCCAGTTTTGTTCTTACATATAAGCATTATTCAAAACAAATATTTTACTTCACACCTCCCTTCATATAATAGAAGCATAGACTATGAGAAAGCACTGCAAGAGATTTTGGTATCACTAAAGATACTTTACTGGATTTAATCATTTTGAGCAACTTTTTACACAAATTTGAATATACAAAGTTTATTAGAAGAAACGCAAAATCAAGAATTGTAACAGAAAATAAACTATATTACAAGTTAACAAAAGCAAAATAATAAATTCAAAAAAAATCTTCAATAATTAGAAGTGACTGAAACAATGAATAGAATGTGGAACTAACTTAATGTATTGATACTTGATAAGATTTCTTATTTTTAATGATTTTCCTATTCAATCAAAGAGAATGTGGCAATATATCCAACTAGAAAAATCAAGAATGTGGCAATATGTCCAACTAGAAAAATCATTAAACAAATAAGTGCCAGTTTCACAAAAAAATAACAATTTAAAAATAATTATATTAAATATTGTACATACATATTTTTTAAAACTTATTACCCTTTCCAGATATACATGTACAATTTATTGCTCTAGCTCTGAGTTACTGGGCTTCAACTAACAAGAGTTCTATGGCAGGGATATGGTGATAACTATAATACTAGCACCTGGTGCATGAAATTAATACACACAGGTGGTGGGGTGTCCCTCAGCCTGGCCTGTGCCATCTCGTAGTCCAGGAGCCCCGCAATCAACTGCCCCAAAAAGGGGGGCCTGCCCACCTGCCGCAGTGCCAGCACCACTGGGTAGCCTGGACCTTCCTCTTTGGGGTGATCAACTGTGCCCTGCACAGGGAGGCACTGCTCACCTGCTTCAGCCCGCCGGTCAGTGGACTGGGCCTTCCTGTTTAGGGCAATCATGATTGCCCCCTCCCCGATTTATTGATCATCCTGCAGGCCAGTGGCCTGGGCTACCCTCTGCAGGGTGATCATGGGGCAATGGTCAGGCTCCTGATCAATTGCATTGCACCTGCCTTGGCTGGCCTGGTGCCAGTGTGTGTCATAGCATGGTCATCTGGATGGTCACTGGATGGTCGTTCCGCTGTTCTGCCATTTGGTCGATTTGCATATTACACTTTTATTATTATAGATGACTAGAGGCTTGGTGCATGAAATTTGTGCACGGGGGAGGAGGGGTCCCCTCAGCCCAACCTGCACCCTCTCCAATCTGGGATCACTCGAGGGATGTCCCTCTCACAATCTAGGACTGCTGGGTCTTAACTGCTCACCTGTTTGCCTGCCCGAATGCCCCTATCCCCCTCTTCTCCCCCCCCAGCTCCTGCCAATCTGGTCATCCCCAAATGTCCCTCCCAACTGACCTGGTCTTCCCCAACTGCCCCCCTCTGCCAGCTTGGTTGCCCTCAACTGCCTCCCCCTGCTGGACTAGTCACCCCTCACTGCCCCCCTGCCAGCCTGGTCACCCTAACACAGCCTGCTATTTAGTTTGGTCATCCTTCCTGCTAGCCTGGTTGCGCCACACAGCTTGCTTTTCAGTCGTTATTGTTACTGTGACAGCATCCTGGACAATTTTCATATTACTCTATTATTAGGATAGATACTCTTTTCAACCTTTACATTCATTAAAGTACATAACAATTTAGAAAAAAAATGACTTAATTTTTAATAAATTATCTCAATGGCCTCAATTAAGCAAAATATGTACAAATTATCTCAATGGCCTCAATTAAGCAAGCTGACTAGACAACATGTGTTTCATGTTGTTTGGCAGCCAAACAACATGAAACCTCTATCAATCCCCCCTTTTTAGATTACTATAATTCTCCTTTGAAAACTATCCAGGGGTGAGAATATAACTTGATCCTGGTGATCTGATATAAAAATGACTGAATCAAGGATGAGCAAGAGCTAAGCCAAGCTAAAAACAGCCAGCCTTGTGACTAACAACAATGTGCTCTTTCCTTTGGGATTACTGGTTTAGTTGAATGTAGACCTTGAGCTATCATGTAGAATGTTAGCCTCAGAATATATTTAACAATGAAGAAGTCAAGAGCACAGGGATGAAGAAACACAGATTTTTGGAGTCATGCCAAAACCTAGATGCATCAATACTGAAACTTTAAGGTTGTATAAAGTTTTCTGGGGGAAAAAAAATCCCTTTGTCATTTCCAATTAAGTCAGATAATAAAATGTTCTGAATAATCTCTAAATTATTCACAACTAAAAATCCTGTGAGTCTAAGTTTTTAAAAGATTCTGGAAGTAAAATAACCTATTGTTAACTAAAATATCTGTATTAAAGTGTTTAAAGATTAATCATGTGGATGAAAAAGAGGATTTCTATGGAAAGTAATCTCACAGGGTGATCAGATCATAAATTGCTAACTGGGAAGTCATGGTGGGTGATCATGTACAGACATGTAACATTTTAGTTAAAGGTTTATCTCTGCCTTAAGCAATCCCTGTCCACTGTTTCTGTGGATCTATGTTAAAATAAGCACACCTTTAAAATAAGCACCCCTAAGCATTTAGTATTCTAAAATTGTGAATAGCATACAAGTTAACCTTTATAAAACTAGAGGGAAAAAACAATATATATACCTAAGCGATTGAATGACTGAATTCTTGATGTGCACTGACAACCAGGGGGCAGACGATCAATGCAGGAGCTTCCCCTTGGCGGTCAGTGTACTCCCACAGCTAACCTCATACAGTCCCTCTGGCCAACCAGCTCCGATAGGGCTGGCTGGCCAACCTCTTTCAACCCTGATCAACCCCAATCATTGGCCAGGTGGAGGAACCCCATCTGTGCACAAATTTGTGCACCGGGCTTCTAGTTTAATTATATAATTATGCCTTTTAAATAGTATCTCCCTGGCATATTATCTAACAAATTATAGTCAGTTTTTGATAAATGTTTGATGAATAAACTATAGTAGACAGGTTGAATGTGAATGGGCACAATGCATAATAACAAAAATCTTAAAATGTAGTATATTGTAGATCAAGCATGTCAAACTCGAAGCTCACAGGTCTCATGTAGCCCACAATGAATATTTTTGTGGCCCAGACAATAGAACAGTATGTAAGAAACATTTTAATAAAAATGTCGTTACTTAATTTTTACAATATCGTATTAGTAACAAACTACATTTACTAATGACTGATTACTATACTTATTACTATAATCATGTTGCATTCATTTCCCTTAAGCGCCTTACATGCAAGCACACCATTTCTCTCCACTAATAGTAGCAGCGAGTATTTTAGCAGCAGATTGCCACGTCATTAGTCTTGTATTGACTTGTTTGGTGTTCACAACAGGAAATATTTCACTTTTGGAGAACAAGAAAAATAGGTTTACTTGCGTTACACTTATTAATTTGTGCAGTTATTTGGTGTCTGGTAAGTTAATGGTCAAGAAAAAAACATTACTTTCTATTAAAATGTTCTATTATCTTATGTTAACCATTACTCATTTATTTCAGTCCTTTGTATTCAGCATATCTCTATTGAAATAAACCTGTTTCTATGAAAATTGAAGCTTTTGTGTGTTTTTTTGCCCACATAAACTTAAACCTTGTTTATTTGGCCCATGTTAGCCTTTGAGTTTGATATGCTTGATGTAGATCTTAAAATGTAGAAGAATGCAAAAACTAAAAAGGTTTCTTTCAAGTCTCAGGAGCAAATAATCCTTTTCCACAAAAGTAAACATCCTGTCTTTTAATGACTTTCTTTTCCTTCTACATAAGTTATTAAGTCTCCCCCACCCCCAATTGTCCCCTACTTATTCGATGCTCACATGAGACTCCCAGCCATTACCTTAGTCCAGAGTCTTCCCCACACTGTCCAAGACTAAGTTTATTATCTCCTCCAACATTATAAACTCTGCCTCAGCTTCAAAATCTCAGGAATCCTCTAATATTATAATGCTAAAAAGCTCATAATAATTTCAACACCAAACATTGCTATATTATCTCTATAATGCTCACTATCATCCCAGACCACATGTACTGCCACAGTTCCACTCTTTCAAGTCCTACAAATTTCATCAAAGCAAGGAGTACAAAACTTGGTATTACTTTAATTCACGTGTTCTTCATGTGTGGTCATTCTAGTGGACTTAGTCACGTGTCTATAAAGCTAAATGACTTCACAGTCAACAAAGCCTGTCAACAGATAATGGTTCCTACAATACTAGTTTTGCAAACCCACGGTAACAAATTCAGCTAGCATTTTCGGTTCTTATCACCCTTCCTCTAATCCCGCAGAACTTGTAACGGCAGGAAAGAATGATGGATAGGCAAAAGGGAAAGGAAACGCAAAAGCGCAGAGGCGGGGACTTCACTTCCGATTGCCACGCAACAAGAAAAAACCCAAAGGTCCCTCCGGCTCTTTCGCAATCTACAAGAAAAGGCCGGATCGGACTCCAAGCCCAAGAACAAAGACAAAAAAATAAACTGCTCTGAAGGAACAGACTCTTGCTCGTTCAGAACTCACCTGTTAAAAGCGGCGTGTACGGCGCCATCTCGTCCCGGAAAGAGAAACCTATGCACTCGGGTCAGAGTTCACGAGGGCCAAACCCGGCCCCTACACGTCCACTCCGGCGTGGGCACGGCAACTTAGTAGTTCCGGAGTCACCAGCCTCGGGGCCAATCACTTCCGTTTAGAGGCTGCAGCAGCGAAGGAGCCGCAGGGCGCACGCGCACCGCCGGGGGAGGGTGGGAGGGACACATTTTACAGAGCTGGGGAGGGCTGGGCCAGGCCCCTGCGCCCGCCTTCACCTCCATCTCCCTCCCCCTCTGCCGGCGGGGCCCGCACTTCCGCGGGGCGGAGTTCTCCCAGTGCTGACGTTGGCAGCCGAACCCAAGTAGAGCTGACGGGTTACGAGGCCACTTGTTTCATTTCTTCCTCTTTCAGTCCACGCTCCCGGCGGCGGCGGTGCGAGCTGCTCCGGTCCTGCCGCCCTCCCGCGCTCCAGCCTCGCTCGCCGGCGCCCCGGCTCCCCGGCGGCCGGCGCCCCCCGCCTGCGGCGCTCAGCACCGCGCCGCCGCCCTCCGGCCCGACCTAGCGCCCGCCTGAGCCTCCCGTTCCCGCGGCGGCACCGGGAGCGGGGCGTCGCAGCGGTCCGAGGGGGAGCGAGCGAGGCCGAGGGGTGGTTTGGGGTAGTGGTGGCGCCGCGAAGATGGTCGCCAAACAGCGGATCCGTATGGCTAACGAGAAGCACAGCAAGAACATCACGCAGCGCGGCAACGTAGCCAAGACCTCGGTAAGGAAGCGCGGACGCGCCTCGGTGCTGCAGGCTGGGGCCACGTCGTGTCCGCCCGGACCCGGCCGGCTGCGGGGCCGAGGCGCGAGCTGGACACTCAGTTGGGGGTTCGGGGAGGGGGTGCGGGAGCTGGCGGCTCGGGAACGGAGGAGAGACTCCGCCGGAGAGCAGGCGGTGGGAGTCCTGGGTCGCAGCGGCTTTTTGCATTTGAAACGGTGGGTTTTCCTTTTTGCAGAGAAATGCTCCCGAAGAGAAGGCCTCTGTAGGACCCTGGTTATTGGCTCTCTTCATTTTTGTTGTTTGTGGTTCTGGTAAGTGCTTCGGGGGCCGCGGTCGGGCGGGATGTTGGGTTTAGGATGACGTGGTGACCTCTCAGTGGTGAGTCGAACCTCGTAGTTCTCAACCCACCTGCCGCGAGCTCCACACAATTCTTTCATCTGAACAAATTTCCTTGTCCCACATATGCACAGAGGGTGCTGCTCCAGAAACTTCCCCCAGCTTGACTGTGCCCACAGGATATTAGAAAAGGAGGTCGTCGGGTTCTTAGTAATGATCAAGCTGATAGAAATGTAGACCAAGACAAAAAGCAAAACATCTCAGAGAAGGAAATAGGATGTTTTGCAATTCCATTATCAACACCTTTGCAAAAAAACAACAAACAAACAAAACAAAAAAACCAGACTCTTGAACATTATGTACATATGGATTTCTAATTTAATTTAACATATCCCAGAATCTAACATTATGTCAAAAGCTGGGTATAGTTTAGGGTAAAGCTAGTGCGAATAACTGCTTCACTATAAAAGAAACGTGGCAATTTAATATGTGACAAATGGTTTTAGGTTAATAAAAGAAACATTTGACATATGGTAGAAAAATTCGTTATCAGGGCAGCCTGCTGTTATAGACTCATGCCTCTGCAAATATATTACAGAATATTTGTTTTCTTATATAAGCTGTTGATATTGAAGCACATGTTTCTGCATTTCAAATTTTGACATTCTAACTTTATTAAGGTTTCTTTTAAACATTTTACTTTGCTTGTCTCCTAAACTTACCAGTTGGAAGCTTTCCTGATAGATGGCCAAGAGCCAAGCAATTTATATAACCTAAAGATGATTGGATTTCAGCCTTGTGAGAATGAGGAAACATGCACGTTATAGGCCAGGCCTTCAGGGGACATGTAATATTTAGTGATAAACCAAAATAATTCTGTGCTTGAAAAACCTGTTTGGTTTGGTACTTTAAATCCTTTCTAAAATGATTGCTATTGCCAAACTCTCTGGGACATTAAAATATAACATTCAGAAACTGAAATTTTTAAAAATAACTTCTGAACATTTGTTTTATCATGGTAGGCTTGTCTTCACTATTACAGTGAAGTTACGTAGCATTTGCAAGTTATTATTTAAGGGTACCCTACCTTAATATTTGCCCCTTGCCAGACCAACTTATTCAAAGCATGTTTTAATATTTGCTCTTTCTCTTTACAGCAATTTTCCAGATTATTCAAAGTATCAGGATGGGCATGTGAAGAGACTGACCTTAAGATGTTTCCATTCTCCTGTGAATTTTAACTTGAACTCATTCCCGATGTTTGATACCCTGGTTAAAAACAATTCAGTAAATCATCCTGCCTCTGAATTATTTTTCATATCATCATTCATGTGTCATTCCAAGGTTTTTTCACAAGTCATTCCAAATTTTCTAGTCCATACCACAGTGCCTTGCAAAAGCACCACATGAATAAAGCAATAAAATTTTGATTATTAAGCTACATTAGTGGACCCTACTTATTCAGTCATTAAAGAGTAAGTTTTTAAATGTGGTTATTAAAACAGTATACAGTATAGGTAATTACATTAAGTCTGTGTGGACAGGGTCTAGATTTTGTTAACTCTAATGAGTACATGCAGTTAGCTTAATTTAAAATTTGGAATCTTATGGATTTTATATAGCTAGGCACTTATTACAATATCTTGAATTGAAAGCACATTCCCATATAGGGTCATGGACCTGTGCTGTAATAAGGTGCTTATAAATGGAACAACTATACAGTTAGCCTAGTTTTCCCACAATCTATAGCACCTAGGGAATTATAAAAGCTTCTAAATGCCTAATGTAAAAGATGCTTATAGCCATGTTTAATATTTCTGTTACACTACCTTGGATTTTGCATGAGTGAATATACTAATCTGAGATATCATTAGAAAACAACTTGGTTGAGCATTTTGTAACTTAGTCACTTCAGTTTCACTAAAAGCTATCATAGTGGAGTAAAGTCAGGGAAGGTTTGTTTATCTCACCAATGATTTCATCAGAATTACTTTAGTGTATCAAAGGGTCTACTATGGTAGACAACGTCCAAGGGGGAAAATACTACTAAAAGTGGATGCCTCATCAGAACATACTGTTGAGCCCAATGTGCCACAAGACATCTTAGCATGTTATTAGCATTTTTAGCATCAAAAAGGCACAAACTAAAAAGTTACGCCTAGTTTGGAAATGCTTTTTCTAGATTTATGATTAAAATTGTTCGATTTCTAGATATATCAGACTAATGTATCATCTGGAATTAAATGGATATACTGATAAGGGATCAGTCCTTAGTTTTCCCTTTGTTGTGTAATTTTATAGGTTATGATCATACTTCCATTGTAATAATAGTAAGGGTGAGTAAGAAGGCAGATTTGGGGTTTTCTGGTACTGTTAAAAACAAATTATTGGCTATTTAAGTACTTAGCCATAACTTGATGAAAAAAAAGCCTGAGAGATGTCTGTTAATTGGAAAGAAAGCTGCTTGTTTGCTTTGTTTAATTGCCTCAGGATATTTCTTTTAAAATAAGCTGTTTTAAGAGGAACAGAAAGGGAAATCGACTACCTTGTCTATACTCAGTGTGAACCTCAGAGAGAGCTTCTGATGCCCCAAGGTATGGGAGAGAGTGAGGGAGGGGGAGGTAAGGATTGTCAGGAATTTGACTAGTATAGGAAAAGAATCAACTGACCTGGGGGCAGCAGGTTTATCTTCATTGTTACCTGCCTTTCTCACCCAGGAAGTCAACTCCTAACTTGTTTGCCTCTTTAACACAAGTATCTTGGTTAATTTTATTGTAACTTTTAAAATGAAAGTTATTGTTCTAAGTTTATAGCAGGTGCCTTATTCTTTGCTTTGAGTCAAACCATTCCATATCAGAATTTCCCTTGGTGTATCATAAATAATTGACTTTAGATGGTGGTGGTGTCTTTTAATGTACAATGTCTATTAATTTGTTAAATTTGACTGGCTGGGCTCTCAATTGAATTTTATATGTCATCTAATATAGCTAGCAATCATTTTACATATGTAAAGTTGCATTCCCTTTGTATTTCATGTGTAATTTTCCAATTGAGTGCATTTTATATTAAGGATGGATTATGCATGTTTGGGTCAATGAAAGCGATGTCTTATTTGATTTTTTTCTTTAAAAATAAAAATTCCCTGGATATTTTATGCCTTCTAAAAGAAAATGATTTTAGAGTTGTTTTTTTATAAGAATTTTTTTAAACCAAATTGATTACATGCTGGAGATCAAGATCACAAGTGCTCTCCAGAGTTCTTATCTGAGTGTACTTTTTACAGTTAATAGAAAATGATTTTAAAGACTGCCTAGTATTATGTTGTACTTGAGATAAAACATATAGTACCCAAATGCACAGATTTAAAGTTTATAATTAGGAATAGGTAGCAAGAAAAATATATAAGCACAATTAATTAAATACTTCCCCACCTAGGATTTACCCTCATCTAATGTTTATCCAAGTCTGATTCAAGGAAGAAGCATGGTTCTTTTGAACTTCCTTTCCTAATTGAATTTTAAAAATATATATTTATTGATTCCAGAGAGGAAGGGAGAGAGAGAAATATCAATGATGAGAATCATTAAATGGCTACCTCCTGCACACCTCCCAGTGAGTATGGAGCCTACATCCCCATGTGCCCTGACCAGAATTGAACTGTGATCTTCTGATTCATAGGTCAACCCTCAACCACTGAGCCACATTGGCTGGGCTCTCAATTGAATTTTATATGTCATCTAATATTGAGCACAGTATGAGAGTAAATGCTTTGATGCATTGTCTGCATTATCCAATTACTCTAATTTAGCTACAACATTTTAAAGAGTTGTCAAAAATTACATTGTATCTGTTGGGTTGTATATAGTGCTCAAAATAATTGAGTGAGCTTCCAGATTAAGTAAAAGATTTTCATTGTAACAGGA